TGATACGCATATAGCAATTGAAGAACTAAATGATCACTTGTAAATGACATTCTACCCTACAGAGAAGACTCAAAGAACTCCACCAAAAAACTCTTAGAATTAATAACCAAATTCAGCAAAGTAGTAGCATACAAAATGAACATATATAAATCACTAGGATTTGGGCACATCAACAATGAACAGGATGAGAAATAAATTAAGGAAACAATACTATTCGCAGGAGGAAGTTCCATAAAAATGAAGTATCTCAGAATTAACCTATCCAAAGAAGGGAAAGGCCTCTACAAAGAATACTACAGTACTCTGAAGAAGGAGATTGAAGAGGACACCAGAAAATGGACAGGTGTCCCCTTCTCCTGGACAGGAAGAGCCAATATTGTCAAAATGACCATACTTCCAAAAGTATTATACAGATTTAGTGCAGTTCCAATCAAAATACCAACAGCATATTTTGCAGATCTAGAGAAAACAACCCTAAAATTCATATAGAGGCAGAAAAGACACAGAACATTGAAAGTAATTTTGGACAGTAAGAGCAAAATACATAGCATAACAATACCTGACTTCAAGTTACATTATAAAACAGTAGTGGTAACAATGGCATGGTACTGGAAAGACAACCAACGTGGGGATCAACAGAAGAGAACTGAAGGAAACAGAAACCTACAGACATATTCAACTAATTGATCTTTGGTGTAGAGTCCAAAACATGTGTTGGAGGTAAGATAGCCTATTCAATAAGTAGTGCTGGGAAAAATGGTTATCTGTTTGCAAAAATAAAAATTGGACCCTTATCTCTCACCATATACAAAATTAAAATAGAAATGCATCATAGATCTACTAGGTAAAACAGAAACAAACATCATGGAAGATAAAATAGGAAAAACAGTTGAAGACATTGTTGCAGGAAAGTATTTTCTAAACAAGACTTCAATCACAAATAAATGAGTAATAATCAACAAATGGTATTATAAAAGACTTAAAGTTTCTGAAGAGCAGAAGAGTCAGTCAGTAGAGTGAAGAGACAACCCAAAAAATGGGAAAAGATTGCTAACTAAATATCCAACAAAATGAAACCACCTAAAATAAAAGAGCCAGTTATGAAATGGGCAATAAAAATGAACAACCACTTCCCACAAAAATGAAAAGAATCAACAAATATATTTAAAAAATATTATCTCTTGCCATTATAAAAATGCAAATTGAAACAATGTTAAAGAACTTGCCTGCATTTTTGTTGGGAATGCAAGCTATTAAAAACATCATGGAAATCTACATGGAGATTTGTCAAAGAACTGCAATGAGAAATTTCATAAGAGCCAGTTATTTTTCTGCTAGGTATCTTACCTACAGAGATAAAGTCATCACACTACAGCAATACATGCCTACCAATGTTTAAGGCAGCACAATTTATAATAGCTAAATCCTAGAAGCTGACTGTATACCCAACAACAGATGACTGTATAAAGAAAATGTAGCATCTATACATAATGGAATACTACGCAGGTATAAAGAATGTTGTATTTGAGACATTTGTACCAAAATGAATGATAGTGTTGACTAAAATGAACCAGACATACAAGTTTAAATACCATAACTTATTTGAGTGCAGCAAAGTACAAACAAACAAAATGATAAATGATAAATAGGAAAGGAAAAGGAAGGCAGATCTCTTATAATACGGAAGTGGTCTAATGGAACAAGGGTGAGTGTGAGAAGGAAGTGAAGGGAAAATGAGAGGAAAAAAGACTCACTGTTTACAGGAACCTAATAACACAATTCATGTAAACACTATAAGCCATAGCATAAGCTAAAACAAATAATATCAATAATTACAAGAAGGGTAATAGGGGAACCAAACTAGGAAAAGGGAGGAGAAAGTAAAGGGAAGAAAGGGAATTAGAAGAACAAAGCAAGTTGTAATATGTATATGTAACCACTCCTGAAGGTGACTGAAAATTGCATGAATTGAAAATATGTAATAATAGTCTACAATTTCATGTATGTTAATTTGACATATAATTTAAATCACTCATGAAATTCATATCATCATGACTGTTTTACATTATATGTTCCCACATATTCCCTGTATAATATTGTTAACTTCTTTCATCTCTTCACTTGTACACTGAAAGCTTTCTTTTCAGTGATTATCCACTTTAGTATGGATTTGCTAGTGATAAATTTATACTTTTATTTTCTGAAAATGTCTTTCTTTCTTTTTTTCTCTTCCCTTTTGTTTTTGGTTGCCCAAGCTAAACTCTGGGATCAAGTGATCTTTCTACCTCAGCCTTCCAGGAAGCTGAGACTACAGTTATGTGCCACCACAGCAGTCTAACTGTCCTTACTGGGCTTTCAGTTTTGATGGGAAACTTCAGTAGGTTTAGAATTTCAGATTGTCAGCTTGCAAATTGTTAAATTCCATGAGTATCAAAATTGCATGTAATGAAAGTCTCACCTTTTTGCACTTTCTTTTTTCCCCAAGACTTCGGGACTTTGTTGCTTTGATAAATTTCTGCTGCATCCTGGTAGATTTTGCTGCCTTCATTTGTTTTTTCTCAAAAATTCTAGTGGCTTTTGTTCAGGCCTGTTAATAGCAACTACACATTATCAAAAGTGGAACTCTTCAATATCATCATAATAACATACATGAAATCCATTTTTGTACCACATTTTGTTTAAAAAAATCTGATTACTTAACTTTCTACAATTTTTAGGTGTTATATTAGAATAAATTATATAATGAAAACTATTCTAGCATAATCTTTACATATATAGTTCATGATTTTCTTAGGTTCTTTTTCTAAGCATAAAAGTGCTAGTTTTAATATTCGAACTTCAATATCTTTGGAAATCACTGGACCCTAGGTTAGGAATATTTAATTTTGAGGTTATAAATAACTTAAATTGTTTTGAGCTTCCCCTTCTGAGTGGATCCCCAAGCATAATATATGCACCAAACTTCCTAGAATTGGAAATGGATGCGTGGTAGAAATAGGATTGCTTCTCCATTTGCAGAAAGATGTGCTGACACTTTGTGGATATAGCCAGGCATTTTCCCTCTCCAAACAATTCTAAAGAAATTATATTCCTAGATTTTTGTGGAGACATTAAGAAAGATCATGTATCAGCAAAAGTTTTCCAGCAAAGTCCAAACATATCAACAGTCAACAGTGATATTCTGGGGCCGGGGAGATGGCTCAGTGGAATAAGCGCTTCCCTGGCAAGCGCAAGGGCCTGAGTTCAATCCCTGGTTCCGCAAAAACAAAAACAAAAACAAGCAAACAAAACAAAACACAATAAAAAAACACAGTGATATTCTCTCTTTTTGCTCTCTTCCCCTCTTGCTTCTTCCTCATTCATCTCCCCCCTCTGTCCTTCACACTCTTCTTTCTCTCTGTCTTACTTTACAAGCAATCTGTGCATGCCACTCTTCCCACCTCACTGCTACCATGCTGTTTTCAATTGGAATGCTTTCTCCATCTTTGTCCTTCTAGTAAATATCTACCCATTGATTAATATATTTTTATTTTAAAGAGAAAAAGTGAAACAAAATTTCAAAACAGTACAATAAGAGGGTAACAATGGTTAATACATTGCATATTATTATCTTTAAATTAATTATCAGAGTACAAGATATCAACATTCAGTTGTCCAAAAATATTAACATGAACTTTCTTTTCAATGAACTAAAAGAAGTTAGTAGTACAACTATCTTAACTATCATATATATATATATTTTTTCCTTTCTTTCCTTACTCTATTCTTCTATCCCATTTTCTATTTCCTTTTGCAGTTTCTTCCCATTTTACAATATCTGTTGTACATTTTGGATCTTATTTATTCTCAGTTTCTCACACCAGGAAGACAATATGATGTTTACACATGTGAGTCTAATTTATATCACTCATGAGTATGGTCTCATGATATGTTCCTTTACCTATGAAAGTCTCCAGTTTATCCTTATTTATGCTTAAGTAGCATTCAATTGTGTAAAAAGACCACCTCTTTTCTATGCACTCCTTGGCTGATAGGCATTTGGTTTGTTTCCAAGATTTAGCTACTCCAAATTGTGCTGCTAGAAATATGAATGCACATATATCACTGTGGTTTGATGTTTTTAATTCTTCTGGGAAGATACCCAGAAGGGGAATTGTTGGATCAAATGAGACCTTTAACCCAAGTTTTTTGAGGAATCATCATATTGCTTTCACACATACCCACCGATCTTTTAGAAAAATCTTTTATGAGCTTTTTTCCGGATATACAAGTATAACAGACCCTGCCTTCCACCATACTCTGAATAAACTTTTAGAAAACTTTGCTTCACATTATTTTTTGTCTGACTTCCACTTTTGCATCACCAACTCCTTGAAGACAAAGAAATAAATCCTGTACATTCTGGACTGATCAGTGCTTATTGAATGAGTGAACTGAAAGGTCAGGATGGGATCTGCTCAAAAGTGCGGCAGAGTAAAATGGTGTAACTAGCAGTCTTCTACACTCAGCATCTTGATTAAGCTTCACAAAGACTCTCTTAAATATACAAGTGAGTGAGAAGCATGAAAATTAAACAAACATTTGAGTTTTACTGGCTTTCCTAGGCAAGCTGCAATCCTCTGCACTGGTAGGAGTTGGGACCAGCAAGGGAGAGATTTTCAAGCTTCCTTCAGGATTCCTGCCTAGAACTAAATCCTAGACCCTCAGGCTCTCTAGAGAAGATGCCTTCCTAGTTCACAATATAGGAAAAGAGTTTTTGAAAATCTAAATTGAGGGGCTGGGGAGATGGTTCAGTAGAATACGAGGGCTTCCCTGGCAAGCACAAGGGCCTGAGTTCAATCCCTGGTTCTGAAACAACAACAACAACAACAACAACAACAACAACAACAACAACAACAAAACACCTTAAATTGAGAAAGTGACAGAGTGGACAAGAACAAAAATGAGAGGTTTACAATTCCAGAGACCATGTACATTTTCTTTTAAACATTTGTGGGGAAATGGCAAATATAAAGATACTAGGTACTAGTTTTAAGAATCCATTAAGTGCCTGGTATAGTGTAGGGTCCTTCTAATTGCACTGTAACTCAGAAGTAGCTATTATTACCTCCATTTTATCCCCAACCTATCTGCTCCACGCTCTTTGATGTATCTTACCAAAGCTTTCTTTCTGCCAGAATGTTCTTTGATTTGGTGCAGAAGCACCACATCCACTTTCTCTTACCCAGGGGAGGAGCTGGTCTGGGCGTGGTCTCCTTGTCGCAGAGCCTGACTGCGCCTGCGCGGACTGCGGCAGAAGGAGGGGTGTGAGAAGCTGAGTACACTGAGACTAGCGTTCGCTGTTTGCCAGTAACGTCTTTCTTTTGCACCATCTCTAATTTCAGCTTCAGTAAGTTGCTTGGAACTTTGTGGCAGCAGCAGCAGCAGCAGCATTACTGCTGAGGGCAGTTTTGTGCGGAGGCACCTACATACCTCCTGTCCTCTTTCTACTAGATCGCGGGCCTATCGGTTTCTGCTCCCACACGCCGGTCGACAGGACCTTGTCGCTGGTAAGCCAGAATTCGCGCCGCCTCAGCAGTGCAAAAGCCACTGCGCACAACAGCAGCAGCTGGGGTGAAATGCAGGCCCCTAACGCCCCCGGTGTCCCTGCTGCTATGGCAGGCCCAGACGTCCCGGAGGGTCCCATCGATCCCCAGATCCTCCAGGGCCTCTGCGTCCCTGAGGGCCCAGGCACTTCCATGCCATCTACCCCTGGTGAGGGTCCAAGCACCGCTGTCCCGCCCGCTGCCACTAAGGGCTCAAGCGCCTCTGGAGCTCCTACAGTCTCTGAGGGGCCAAACATCGCCCTGTCGATCGCTGCCTCTGAGCTCCCAAACAGTCCTCTGCCGCCCACTGCCTCTGAAGGCGCCAGCGCCTCGGAGCATCCCTCTGTCACTGAAGGGCTGAACATTTCTGAGTTTCCCCTCTCCAATGAGAGTCCGAGCACCTCCGTGCCACCCACCTCCGGTGAGGGCCAGAGCACTTCTGTGCTGCTCACCGCCTGTGAGGGACTGAGCATCTCCGTGCCGCCCACTTCCGGCGAGGAACTCAGAACTCTCGTGCCGGCCGCTGTGTCTGAGGGGCAGGGCCTCAACGCTGAATCCCGCTCCGGGGAGGGTCCCAGCATCTCTGTGTTGCCCACCGTCTCAAAGGGACAGAGCACCTCTGTGCCACCCACTCCCCGCGAGGGCCCGAGTACCTCAGTGTTACCAACTGCCTCTGAGAGACCCAGCACCTCTGTGCTGCCGCTTTCCAATGAACGTCAGAGCATCTTCATAAGGCCTATCCCCGGTGAGGGCCCGAGCAGCTCCTTGGCGCTCACAGCCTTTGAGGAACCGGTGGCCTCTCTGCCGCCCCCTTCTGGCAACAGCTCCAGCATGTCGGTGCTCCATGCCTCCTGGGACGGCCCAAGCACTTCCAGGATGCCTAATGCTGCTGAGAGCCTTGGCAGGTCTGGGATGCCCACTGCCCCTGGGAACCCTGGTGCATTGTGGAGCTCCGGTGCATCCGGGAGCCAGAATTCTTCCAACTGTTTGTTTGCTTTACCAAACCTTGGTGTTGCCAAGGCCTCTGCGAACTCTGAGGGTCCCAAGGGTGCAGAAGGCCCCATGGAATTCCAGGTCCTGAGAGACCATAAGAACTCTAACTCCATTACCATTATGGGGCTCGGCACTGCCCAGGTCGCACTGACTCTGAAGCCCCAGGACCCTATGGAGGAGAATGTAGCTGAACTGTTGCAGTTTCTGCTGGTGAAGGATCAGAGCAAGTATCCTATACGGGAATCTGAGATGCAGCTACATATTGCTAAAGAATACAGCCACCAGTTTCCTGAGATCCTCAGGCGAGCAGCAGCTCATTTGGAGTGTATTTTTAGGTTTGAATTGAAGGAGCTCGACGCTGAGGAGCACACCTATATCCTGCTCAACAAACTGGGACCTGTACCCTTTGAAGGGTTGGAAGACAGCCCAAATGGGCCAAAGATGGGCCTTCTGATGATGATCCTAGGAGAAATATTTCTAAATGGAAACCAAGCTAAAGAGGCTGAGATTTGGGAAATGCTGTGGCGGATGGGGGTGCAGCGAGAAAGAAGGCTTTCCATTTTTGGAAACCCAAAAAGACTTTTGTCTGTAGAGTTTGTATGGCAACGCTACTTGGACTATAGGCCAATAACTGACTGTACACCAGTGGAGTATGAATTCTTCTGGGGCCCACGATCCCACCTCGAAACCACCAAGATGAAAATTTTGAAGTTCATGGCTAAGATCTATAACAAAGATCCTATGGACTGGCCAGAGCAGTACAGTGAGGCTTTGGAAGAAGATGCTATCAGAGATGCTGCTGATGATTGGCAGGCTGTCCCTCACTTTAGGAGGCCTTTTTTTGAGGAAATTCCTGCAGAATTATTATCTCCTGATTCAGATGTTTCTGGCTATCCCTCAAAATATCCTCCACATTCATGGCCTGAGTCAAGAATGGAAAGCAAGGCAAGGAAGTTGGTACAATTATTTCTGCTTATGGATTCAACTAAGCTGCCTATACCAAAGAAAGGAATTCTGTACTACATTGGCCGAGAGTGCAGCAAAGTGTTCCCTGATCTTCTGAATCGTGCTGCCCGCACTCTAAACCAAGTGTATGGGACAGAACTAGTGGTTCTTGATCCAAGAAATCACTCTTATACCTTGTACAACCGAAGGGAAATGGAAGATGCAGAGGAGATTGTAGATAGTCCAAATAGACCAGGAAACAACTTTTTGATGCAGGTTCTAAGCTTCATCTTTATAATGGGCAATCATGCTAGGGAGTCTGCAGTTTGGGCCTTTCTGCGGGGCTTAGGGGTTCAAACTGGGAGAAAGCATGTAATTACTTGTAGATATTTGAGCCAGCGCTACATAGACAGTTTACGAGTTCCTGACAGTGATCCAGTGCAGTATGAGTTTGTATGGGGGCCTAGAGCCCGCTTGGAAACCTCTAAAATGAAAGCCTTGCGATATGTGGCCAGAATCCACAGAAAAGATCCACAAGACTGGCCAGAGCAGTACAGGGAGGCAATGGAGGATGAGGCCAATAGAGTTGATGAAGAACGCAGGCAAATCCTCATTCAGAATGTCAGATAAAGGAATTTTTGGCAATCAGTGAGGCCTTGTTAGGCTGGGCCCTAGAGCCCTCAGTCTTAAGTATTGGGATGGGAGGGTACATATTGTGTTTGATATTTGTGTTCCAGTTCCACTTATGTCTTTTCATGTTTGGTTTTGGTTTGGTATCATGAAAAGTTACAATTGTTTTATATATTGTCTAGTAAGGTAAATGTAATTGACTACTTGTCTCTGTTGTATTTTGGTATAAAAGTTCCAATAGTGTTGTAATATGCTTTGGTAATCTTTCCACCTCTTTGCATTATCTGGAAAAGAATATATAGCATATAGCTATAGAGATATACTTTTCCTTGAAAGCTTGAAAAAATTCATCAGTATAGTGATCTAGCTTCACAGTTGTTAAACAAACAAGACAACTGAAAAAAACACTCCTGGTTGTGCCTGGCCTCCCTTTCTGTCTGCTATTGTGTAAAGTATACCAATGTTTACCTGTATTTGCTTTGCTGTAAGAAAATGTAATGAAAAATAAAAATATAATAAATTAAACATAATGCGGATTCACTAATTTATTCAATAAATATTTATTAAATTTTGATGTGTTAACTTATTCAATAAACATTTATTAAATTTCTATTATAAAATGAACATAAATGACATATACTGATATATATATATATATATATATATATATATATATATATATATCCTATGGAAGTTAAGAGGAGGCACAGCTAATCTAATTCCTGAGGTGTTCACATTTTTCCTGAGAGAAAATAAGTGTATGAGGGAGAAGAGTGGACCTTTATTATACTCATGAGTTAAAGCTGGACTCAATCTTCAAGAATATTAGTAAAAAGTCAAATATTTCATGGTAAGAGGTAAGGGGGTTTTGCAAATCATAAATGGTTCCATTATGATATATGAGTCAGGCAGTGAAATAGCTTAGTGGCATAAGTGCCTGCCTGGTAAGTGCAAGGCCCTGAGTTTGATCCCCAGTCACACACACACACACACACACACACACACGATCTATGAATCAGTTCTAAGTTACAGGTTTTTTTTTTTTTTTAAGAAAAATACTCCTAAGGTTTTTGGCTAATTTTGCACAGTTTTCATGATTTTCTATATTATTTATCTTGTCTTGATTAAGGTAACCAACCTAAAATTGTAGTCCTTACACAAGAAATCTATCCTTGTAGAGATAAGAGAACCACAGTAAAACTGTGTGCCTGTTCTTAAAGTTCCTGCTCAGAATACAGCATTTCCAATGGCAAAGTCAAATCTTATGGCTAAGCTTGTGGTTAATGGGGTGGAAATTGTACCTCTCCCACAGGGAGCAACATAAAGAAATAGAGCCTAGTAGAGGAGCAAAATATACTTTGAGCAAAAATTCTGTCTACCATATAATAATTTTGTTTTTGCTGTGAGATGAGCAGCTACTGAAAAATTTTGATCTGAGGACCAGGAGGATATGACTAAGTTTTGATGGGATTTTGTTCTTGTATTGAAAGCTAAGGAAGGGTAAGAAGGACATAAGCTCTAATTTTAGCATAATAGTTCCCTCTTAATGTTCTTGTGAAAAGAGATTATTTTTAAAAGAACTTTGAAATGATTTGAAGTAAGATAGGCTGTTACCTTTTAAAAAGCATTTCAAATGTCAAACTATCAAGGTTAACAGGCATTGTAGCATAGTGGTTAAGAGCATATGCTATAAATTTATAGTAACTAGGTTTAAATTTTGGCTTTCTCTGATACTTACCAGAAACTAGACTTTGTGCAAGTTATTTAATCCCTTTGTACCTCAGTATCTTAAGGGGTGAATGGACCTAGTAATTTTATCTACTCTGTAATGTATAGATTCAATGTTTTAAAATTTAAATCCTGAGAGGATTTGACATATAGTGAACAATGTATATCTGGTGTAGCATGTTGATTTTTCTAGGAATGGGGTCATCAAGTAAATATTTCTCTGAAAAATTTTATTGGGAAGCAGTTTTGGACTCAACACCTATGGGGAAACAAAGGAAGCAGAAATGTGTAAAGGAAGAAGTCAAAAAGCAGTGTCATCACAACAGTTTAGTCAGTTTCACAGGGAGCTCAGGTTAATGGGGTAATTCCTAGCCATCTGAAATTAGGAAAAAGGGGTCAAACTTTTTGCTCATTGATTCATTAATGCTTTGGGCTTTGTTTGTTTGAAATAGAGTATTGCTATGTATGCAGGTTGGTCTTGAACTCACCATGTAATTCCTTTTTTCCCCCCTTTTTTGGTGGAACCAGAGATTGAACTCAGACCCTTGCACTTGCCAGGGAAGCACATATTCTACTGAGCCATCTCCCTGGCAGGCCAAACTTTTATACCTTTAAACTAACTATTCACTGGATGCAGATTGCCTCTTGGAATGGGGCTATGACTTTAGGAAAATCAGTTCATTTCAGCCAAGAGAAGTCCATGGGAAGGATGCTCAGCTATAAATATAAGAATAGTCCACATCCCCAAGTGCTAGAGGAATGAGCATTACAATCCCAAAGAGTAATGTTACCTGAAAACTTTCTGATACCCACTATAATTGCTCTTTTCTCTCCCCTCTATCATCTCTTATTTTCTTTCTTACTATTGCCATAATTAATATTGTTGCTAGTATTGTCATCTAAAAAGAACAAATATCTTCTCATCATTCTTCCTGGGATATGACACCACTTACATCATTAAATCATTTTACTTTGGCACAAACTTTGTTGAAGAAAAGTTTCTTTAATTTCTTAAGGTATGTGCCAGCTTTCTGTTCTTTTTGAGTTTCCAGTAGACTTCCTTTTTGTCAAGTTGTTTCTAAAATATGTTACCCAAATAAGTGTATAAATAGGCTATTTTCATTTAAGTCCTGACAACTATTTGATTTCAGATAATTTTTATTAACATGAATATTCACAATTCAAGGTATAAAAGGTAGGAAAATAGTCTGGTAGACAGTCAGGATAGAAAATATAGTCTGTAATGTTTTCTTCTTTTAAAAATGGTAATTTTGGAGACACATAACATTTCTGATTAAATATTTAAGATTTAAAGAAAGAAAAAATGATTATATTGAAATTGCTATAAATGTAATCTTTATTTTATTAGAGCATTAGTCAGTAATGAGCTTACAAGGTGAAACTGTGGATTTATATGATATTTTGAACAGTTTGCAATCACATAAGTGCTAATTAGCTTTCTGATATTGTACCAAAATATCTGAAATAATCATTTGAAAAGGAGGAAACATTTCAAGTCATAGGTTTTTTTAAAAAATGTACTTAGTACACAGTCTACAGGATCTCACTACACAGATCGGACTCATGGTGATCCTTCCTCTTTCTCAGCCTCCTCCCAAGCTCTAGGATTACAGGAGTGTGTGCCACCATGCCCAGTCTCATTTGCTGTCTCAGTGCACCCCATGGGCGGAGCTGGCATTGCACGCCAGAGATCTAATCCCTGTTCCTGCATCTGCTTAAGCAGACAATTTAATCTACTGAGCTATCTGGCCCACCCAAGTCCCAAGTTGTAGTTTTGGAGATTCCAGTTTATGGTCAGCTGGCCTGTATCCTTCAGGTCTGTGATGAAGCAAAAACATTATAGTGGTAACCCCTAGTGGAAAAGTCTGTTCACTCCATGGCCAGAATTTACCCCCGATGACAAAAGACCTTCCACTGAATCCCAACTTTTAAAGATTCCCATTTGATACTGGATTTAAACAATTTTACATGAGCAATGGTGCTTGTAATCCCATTGATCGACTATAGTTTTGTCCCACCTCAGGCCCACCTAAGCAAGTTCCCATGTTCTCCACCACTTTAGACCCACCTCACTGCATGGTTGTCCTCTATAAATGGAAGAGACATCTTCCCGGGGACTACCATCTCGGGCCTCCCTCCTGTGCCTCTCTCAATCAGGAGCATTCTTTCCCCCAGTAAATATATTCTGCTCATAATAAAAAAGTTCCATCACCATGTAAAAGCACCAACAGCCATGAACACAACCTTTAATACACCAGGCTTTAAGGCACATTGCAGATTCAAACTATGCACCATAATTATTTTCTGTTTTGTGACTGTACAGAAACCCAAATAAAGACACACCATTGTGACTGTATGTAAAAATAAGTCAACTTTATTTGCAACTTTGTCTAACTCTTAAAAATAGTAACTGTCTTAGACATTTTCATAGAAAATTACACTTACTGAATATGGTGCAAATTGTTAGGCAAGAATCATATGGTAAAAAACAGAAAGAAAATGTTGTTCACTCATACTAGTCAACTTAATGAAAATGACAAGTAATTGAAATTATCCTTAAAATATTTGGTTAGTCTAAATAGAAAAATCTAAAAACAAATGATATAAAATTAATAAATGTTTATTGTTATTTGTATTGCTCTCTTAAAGAAAAAATCCCAGATGAAACAGTTAACTGACAAAAAAAATAACAATTGAGAATATGGCTTAGTGGTAGTGTTCTTGCCTATCACTTACAAAGCCTTGACTTTAATCCCTAACACCACAAGAAAAATTACTCATAAAAGTAATGTCAATATGAGGCAATCGCCATTAGGTTCTGAAGATCAGAATTTACCAAACTAGAAATAGATATTTACTATATGAACTGCTCTTCCCAGGAACTTATTTATAAAATGAAATACAATTACTTCCTTTTTTGCTTGGTTCTCATACATTTCTGTTCAAATAAATCTATTTGAATTAGGATGCAAATTTTTGTTTCAATATCCTTTTTACTCTGTAGAAGATCATGCTGTCATAATCACATGAATGTGTACAATTTTGTTGAAATGTGTCTAAGTCACTTTGTATTAAGTTAATGATCACTGTCCTGTGCAATCAAACTATTGGAAAAACAAAGTCTGCTTGTCTAACTGTAGTGCTCACCTGTAATAGAAAACAGTTTCTGAACTTCAGAGCAGAGGTTTCTTCCTTTTTCAAAAAGCAGAATTATGGGAAGAACTCTGCTTTTTGTCTTCCTAGTTGTTCAGTCATGATGATGAATGACTCTATATTATTTTTATTTTTGTCCAAGAAGTAATGGGAACATTTAATCCACTCTAAGTAACAGGTGAATGTCTAGGTTATATCATGATTATTTTTTCCAATGATGACTCATCAAAATTGTTCAGAAATGATTATTTTCCCCAAACCAGATTTGTTATACAGTTTTAAAAACTTGTGGATAGGAGTGAAAGTATAACTGTAGGAATTCACAATTATCATTCTTTATTGATTAAGTAAAAAGTGGCAGAGCAATCATCTTTAGATGAATGTGATTTATTTAGCTGAGGGAAATTAATTTGTTCCATCTTCCTAGATTGGAATATTTCAAAGACTAATAATGAGACAAATCAAGTAAACAAATGGAAGTCAATAATTTGGATCAAAATTTGGGAATCAATGTATTTGGGAATACATAGATCTTGGATAAGAGATTAAACTTAAACAAACTAAAAGGCTAGCAAGAAATATGTAATAAT